ACTTCTATCATCACCTTCAGCAATGCAACTGACGGAATTAAACATGTATTACAAAGAGAATTTGGCTTTTATTTTTTAAATTTATAATGAGATTAATTTTATCATAGTAAGTTTAAATCCATTGTTTTCAGGTCTTCAAAACGAGATGCCTACATTTTCATTTCAAAACAAACTCTTAATAAACCACAGTAAATAAGGCTATGAAAGCCTGCAAAGCCTTGAAGAAAACCTTGGTTGTTCTGCCAAAGTTTTCTTTACATATCAGTCAGGTCTGCTGGAAGACAACAACTCCAAAATCTCATGGATTTTATTTTTCATCATTTTTGTACACTGTCACTAGGTGCTACTTTGTTTAATCTTCTAGCTCTAAGCTACTAAAGTCAAGAATTCTACTTCATGTACTGCATACAAACACCCCATATATATACACACATATAAATGCAGTTTTTCCCTGTTGTGATGTACGATTCTGCTCCTCAGAATGACTTCTCTTCAGCTATAAAATATCCCTTAGGCAATTGCATGGGTTGGTAAATAAAACCTGACCTTTTGTGGATTAAAACTGCAATATAAATATGAATACATGTTTGGAAAATCTATGCAGTCCTTGTAACAAACTGCTATCACAAAGAAAAATCATGACAGTCTTCCAGTTTCAGTATTTGTACTATAATGTATACTGCCCTGAAGAAAATTCTTTTCGTTCTGAACATTTCATAATTAAGTGAAGCAGTGATCAAAAGGTCCTGCACATAGCACAGTGCAGACACAGAAAAGCATGTCAGCTCCTAACACTTTGCAGCATATAATACTTAACAGCAAGGCAACTGAGTAGGCTGTGATACATAAAGAACGTTTTGAAAACAATGTCTGGAAAAATTACTCTTTTATGACAGCTTTGTATCAGCTGATACTTGACTGTCTTTATGATTTAAAAATTTTTACCCTGAGAATTCTGCAGACTGAATTCACACTTAAGCCTTCACAGCTGAAATACAACCTGCAGGAACAGCTTTCACTGTGGTCCTGCTACTGGTGTAGACGTGCGGAACTGCTTTTGAGGTTGTCATTCATTACAGTGTCTTAATTATAAAGCCTGCCTCTCAATGTATCTAAATATCTATTCAAGGAAATCTATTGCTATTTGTATAGCACTGGTATCAGTGCAGAGTCCTTTTGACAAGAACTCCTAACACAGGGAAGGAACACTGGAAGGACATCAGGCATTTTGAAGTGTACACAGAACACCAACTAATTCTGCAATTGGAACTGAAAAGTAGATTTCTCCAGTTGGTATTTTCTAATGAACTCAAGGTGTAATACATATAGCATAAACCTTGCAATATTACAATGGAAGTAGATGGATACATTCTATTAAATAGCATGATGCAGCTGAAGCTAGCTGGCAGGAGCTTCAACCCAGCTCACACATTTTTCCCTGGAGATCATGAAGAATGGCTGTTTGGGCAGGAAGAGTACCTTCAACAGGAAAACACTTTTCCTTGCACTGCAAACATGCTAATAGAACTATGGAGTAGCTGCTGCTGCAGTCACCATCTGTCATCACAGGAAAAGCAGCAAACTGGAGACAGACCTCCCTTTGTGCAAGAGCTTTGTCTAGCGTAGGTAAGCCAGGAGGAGTTGCTGAGGCTGTCCAGGCCCTGGGGAACATGGTGGATGCTGTACTTGAACGTGATTCTCTCAATTGCAAACATTAAATCACACAGAATCACAGAATGGCAAGGGTTGGAAGGGACCTCAGGAGATCATCTAGTCCAACCCTCCTGCTAAAGCAGGTTCGCCTAGAGCAGGTTACACAGGACTTCGTCCAGGCGGGCTTTGAATATCTCCAGAGAAGGAGACTCCACAACCCCCCTGGGCAGCCTGTTCCAGTGCTCTGTCACCCTCAAAGAAGTTTTTCCTCATCACCCAGTGGTACCAGCTTGTACATGCGACTGGCAGGTGAGCACTGCAGAGGATTAAAGGAGGCAGCTTTTTAACAGTGAACACTGTCCTAGAGGATGAGAGTTGCCACTGTCACATATTATGTGACAAAATGTGGGTTACTTCAGAAATCCAGAGCAACAATTTAAAATGTTTGCTCCCAGTACTGCCTGGTTTGCAGCATAGCTGTTGTGTGAGAGTGGGTTTAAACACTGTTCCACGTCATACAATAGAGGAGAAATTGTGTTACAATAGCACCATGTATTAAGATATTTATTGTAAAGATTTATACTATAACTGCTGAATCCTGTGTTCATTAGAAAATAGCCAGTGGAAATACCTACTTATCCAATTCTGATTGCAGAATTAGTTGGTGTTCTGCATACACTTCAGAAGGCTTGACAGCAAACTTAACACTTATAACGGCAACATTACACTGACTGGATGTCCTAAAAACTAATGCTATCCAACAGATATGCAAGTACAAATAGGAAATAATAGAAAAGAAGTTTAGGGAATCAAAGGTTTGCCAGTGGGGGAGCTTGAAAACATGGAGAACTTACCAGTATATAAGCTTGTGTTTGCTGGTGTTATAAAAAGTAGCCCACCCCGAAGTGCTGGGATTTCATATGAGAAAGAGCCTAGCATTTGTTTAAAATATTATTATTAGCCCCAACTGCCTATTACATGTATTTCGTGCGAAGAAAAAAACATCAAAATAAGGAAAACTGAAAGCAAGAGGCTATTTTGTAATCCCAGTTGTTACAATGATCATTACTAGTGACAGATTTCTCCTTTCACCTTTTGGCAAAAATTTCAAAACAAGATTGCAAGCAGAAAGGGAAATGTGTGGAACTTTCACGCCATTCTTTTAGGCTGATCTGCTTATAACTAATGATAGCTAGAATGGATGCACAATAAAAAGTGAAAGAATAATTGCAGTGCATCAGGTTAATGACCCGACTGCTCTTAATTCCTTTGACATTTACAGAGCATAGACTATTTTATAATTAAAATGCTTCACAGGGAAGTGTTAGTTGTATCATCTATTAAAAAGCGGAACAGTTTTGAAATCAACAATAGCCACAAAAGATTTGATGACTAGAATTACTGAAGAATTGCAAGGCTCTAGTCACTTCTACCAAGCTCCGATTGCTACAGCAGTGATGTTAATAAGTACTATTTATGTATGGACATTGTTACTGTAGTTTCTAAAATAAAACATACTGTGAGGATGTCAAACACGTAAATCCAGAATACCCTATTTTGTATCTGTGCATGAGTACAGTAACTCCACTTAATTAAAAAGAACAGTTAAGTTGCATAGAAAATAAGGAAAAACACATTTGAGTGAAGACCCAGCAGGACATACTCAACATCTCAGCTTAGACTTTAAATGTGTACAAATTGGGCACCTAAAGGTGAACCAATGAAACAATGGCATGGTCTATAGAGGCAGCAAAGAGAAGGAGCTCCAAATGGTGACCCACAAATATTCAATGCTGAGTGAAAAGCTGCCTAGGTCATTAAGCAATGCAGAGGACAGAGGCCTCCCATTAAGCTGCCTAATTCCAGATTGCACATCAGCAATTTTCTGTCACTTGGAATCCGGAGTTGTAGATTTTTCTGGATAGTATCTAACTTAACAGGACTCAGCATTTTAAAACCTTTCACAGAAACCTGATTCTAAACTATCTCACCCTGCAGGGATTCAAATGTAAGTCTTTCCTTTCTCAGTGAAGTCCCACAAAACCCAGGCTTAGAATGAGGGAACTGAAAGATGTGTTTTTGTGTACTGAGCTGAAGAGGTCTAAGCCATGACTTGCCCCTGGCTTTTAACTCCTGCCAATCCCATGGAGATTGGCACTTCCTCAGCCATGAACTGTAACCAGGTATGGGAATACCATCTTGTATTTTGCTCAATTTAACCAAGCTGTGGGCTGCTCAAAGTCATTATCCCTCTCTCTCTCCAGTCCACTTTCTCCTTTCTGTTAGATACAGCAATCATGTGGCAACAAGGTTGTGGAACACTAACCTGCCCTGTACCAAAACCCCTCACTGATACAAACCCATGGTGCAGTTACACAATCACTAAAATTGATGCAAGAGCTACAGAGTGGGATCAACCCTTTTGGCAGCTTCCAGTTTGATCCAATTGACTGTATGAAACTGCACCCCAAATGGTCTTACATAGTTCAGGGCATAGATCATCCATCTGAGAACACACATCAGACTGAAGGACCACACAATGGCGACTGGTACAACATAATTTTCCCTCTCTTCAACATAGCTGAATGACCTCTTCTCACCTCCATCTATTGGCATGTAGTTCACAACCCTATGTGTATCACATTTGAGTCTAGCCCACAGAGGCTGATAAAAATGTAGACTGGTTGAGGAGCTAGTGAATCCTCCTGCATTAGCAGACAAAGAGGCTGGGCGAATAATCAGTTACACAACCGTGCCTGAGTAAGTGAATGATAACTTTGGCCCTGTCAGTAAAGCCTTGTGCACAATCAGGGCAAAAAGGAAACATGTTAGTGTGTCGGTTCTTAAAGCAATTCCTCATTTCCCTTGGCAATTATACTGGGTTGTTTGGGTTTGTTTTCTTTTTTTAGAACAGTACAGGCCAGCTTCTGCTATAAATAACCACAGGGAAATGCCAGTAGAACATTTACCAAATAGAAATCCCACAGTTCAGAAAAACCATACAACAACCTGTCTGGTAAAAATCAGTATTTATATGTGTGGCTGGTAGAGGTCTGATCCTGCACTAGGAAACACTGTGCCAGCACATTATCATAGTCCTGTGAAATTACTGAGCTTTGGCCCTGTACTGTATTTTTAATTGCCATTTTCAGCTATACAGGCAACTAACTTTGAGTAAGTATGACTGTACAGAAACAAACCAGGCATTTCCAACAGACATTGCCTTCTCTTCTCACTCGTGATTCATGTCTTACTGTGTGTCCTATTTCTTAATACAACTTGAAATATAAAAATTAAACACAATGTAAAAAGAAAAATCATTAAAATATACAACTTAATTCACCTACCTTTGGCTTCCTGCTTAGTCCAGAATTCTTTCACTCTCTTAATAATGTTTTTGTCCTCTCTCAACTGCTTTTGCCACTGACGTAACTCTTGTATTTCACTATCACAGCGGACCTGGGAAAGGGAAAACAGAAAATGCAACGAAAATTATATACATTCCTGTTACCCAAGACGATGAGACAATTTTTTTTGCAGGGCTGTGGCTGGGCAAATACGTGACATCCATCCTTATAAAAGCACAATCCCAGAGGTTTACAGTTTTCACCTTAGAAATAAAACCCATGTAATTGACAAACCACGTTGAAAACATAAATATGCCAATTAGGGGATCATTTTGATTACCAAGGACTCCTGAGAATGTGATTGCAGTGAGATGCTTATTCTTCAAGTTAATTAAAATTTAAAGCATTATGCTGAAGGGTATTAATGCCTTTAGAAAACCACAGCACTATAAAACTAACCCATTGACCAACATAATAGAGCAGAAGAGGAGCATGAAGGGTCATACAGCAGGAAATTTATTCCAGCAAACTGATTCACACCTGCTACCAGCTGCAAACAGGCTTATTGACAATCCCAGGCATACAGTTTTCACAAACAGTAGAGCCATTAATCTGTTATTTGAAGTAATTGGAATGCAGGACATGATATCTATTCTCTGTCAGTCAATCACCCCTATGAAGGGCGTAATTCTGCTTCCACATAAAATGACAATAGCTATAGGCCTTGACTCCATTTAAGATTTCAGTTGAATTCTTCTATTATTGTTTTTGTACTGGTGTAGATCCTACTAATATAAGAAAGGGCTAGCATAAGAGCTAGCTTTGCATCAACAGCTTTTACCACTCCGCCACTTGCACTTGTTCTAAGCAGGATTTGATTAATTAGCAGTATGT